CCCCCTTTCTCCGTCCCTTTAACTCCACTTCTTGCGTCTTTTTACGTTCTCTCTCTCTCTCTCTCTCTCTCTCTCTCTCTCTCTCTCTCTCTCTCTCTCTCTCTCTCTCTCTCTCTCTCTCTCTCTCTCTCTATGTTTCTACGTCGCTTCTTTACGTTTTTCACGTTTCTCTCTTGCCTCCTCACCTCCACTGATGCTTCTCTGTCTTGTTTAGGACTTGTCTGCTTTGTTTACGCGCTGTCTTCCTGTCTTGTTTACGGACGACTTTTTCCTGTCTTGTTTACAGTCTTCCTGTCTTGTTTACAGTCTTCCTGTCTTGTTTACTGCAGACGACTTTTTCATGTCTTGTTTACGGACTACATTTTTTCTCTTTTTAAAAGTTTTCCTGTCTTGTTTACTGACTACTATTTCCTGTCTTCTTTACAGTCTTCCTGTCTTGTTTACTGCAGACGGCTTTTTCATGTCCTGTTTACGGACTACATTTTTTCTCTTTTGAAAAGTCTTCCTGTCATGTTTACGGACTTCTTTTTCCTGTCTTGTTTATGGACTACTGTTTTCTCTCTTCAGAAGTAGAAGTCTTTCTATCTCTTTTTTTTTACGCACTAGCCTACTGTTTCCAGTCTTCTTTCCAGTCCTTCTGTCTTGTTTATGGACTAATTTTTCCTGTCCTTTTTAAAGTCTTCATGTCTTGTTTACGAACTTCCTTTTTTCCCCTTCTCTTTTTGAAAGTCATTCTATCTTATTTGCGGACTTTTAAAAAATCTTCGTTCCAGTCTTCATTTCTTTTTTTCTTTTTTTTCTCCCTTTTAAAGTCTTCCTGTGTTGTTTACGAATTAGATCTACTTTGTCCTGTCTTGTTTGCTAGTCTTCCTGTCGTGTTTTCTTTCCTGTATCTCTGTCTTGTTGACAGAATACGTGGGTGGTTGGCGGGTGCTCTGGTGTGATTTGCTTCTTCTTTCCTATAAAAAAAAAATATCGTCTCTATCCCCCCCCCCTTTCTATTTTATGTATGTTACTCTCTTGTAACACCTCTAATCTTCGGCACTTAAATGACCTTATTGTGTTGCAAGTGACGCAAAACTATTACTAAAACTAAAACTGGCAGAATACCTTCTCTGTCTGCTCCACAAACTTGGCGGGTTTTTTTTTTAATAGACCAGGCCAACAGTTTAGAAAAAAGAACTTTGTACATACGTTTTTTCTGCATGCTTTTAACAGTACATACATATTATTTCATTTTGCTAATCTAGTGTGCTGGTTGTAATGTGTGTCCGGGCCATCATTTTTTTTCTGTGTGGTTACAGTCGGCATTTTGTAATCCTTCTTATTTACCTACTCAGAGAGAGAGGGAGAGAGAGAGAGAGAGAGAGAGAGAGAGAGAGAGAGAGAGAGGGGGATGATGGGGAAGGAGAGAGAGAGAATGGAAAAGGAGAGAGAGAAAGACGGAGAGAGAGAGAAAGACGGAGAGAAAGACGGAGAGAGAGAGAGAGAGAGAGAGAGAGAGAGAGATGTGGAAGGAGACAGCGGCGAGAGAGCAGAGAGATGTGGAAGTGGAGAGAGAGACAGACAGACAGACAGACAGACAGACAGAACGTACGGACAGACAGAACAGACCAGAAACTATAGCAGAGAGGGGTAAGAAAGAGAACTCCGGTATTATTGAAGTATTGGGTTACAGTGGGGGGCACAACCTCGGCAACAAAAGGGACTGTTGTTAATAGACGATCTTTTGGGCCCCTGTGGGGGCCTTTTGGGGCCGGGGACCGGGGACTGGGGAGGAGGGTTCCTTTTAGCTTCATCTCTCCGCGGATGGCATAGTCACCGACTTTTCAGTTTTCTTTTGAGAGAGTTACTTTCTCTTCTGGGTGTGTTTCTTCATTCACTCCATTACCCC